CAGTGCTTGTGTTGTTGTCCTTCCCGAGCATATTGTCTTGGGTCAATATCGCAATTCACCTGTTTGAGTAACCTTCTATGGGTGAAACCTTCCAAGACTTTAGCTAAGCAGCTAAACTCTATGCAACTCGCATTCGCGACTCAAGAATAATCTTTAAGATGTCCCGGGTGGCGAGAACTCCCCCAACTTGCAGCTGGAGAAATGTATTATTAAACAGTCACATGAAGCATAAACCAATCTTTCAGGAATTCATTTCAAGACAGGCATGCGTAAGCTAAGCCTTGAATCTAAATGGTAAACATTCAGTTTAGTGGGATAGTGTCAAACAAAAAAACATTAAGCAATGAAATCAACGGAAGTTTAAGCTTAATAGATTTACCTTTAGTCTTAATCACTCTATTCTGATGAATTATTTTAGTTATTTAATTCTGCTTTTTTTTTGGAATAAATAAATACTTTCTCTAGATCTCTGACGTCATGCCGAGGTGATTGGTATTGGATTTGTTCTTAAAAGTGTAAACCATGATTTAAGATATTCAAAATTTGAGTTTTAATCCCACCCTGACTTTTCTCTGCAAATGTCCAGGAAATGATTTTTATATTATGGTATTTAAACGGTTCTTAGCTAGATTATTGTGTTCTACACCGCAGGAATATATGCAGGAGATTTTTTTTAACTTTACTGGATTAGCCAGGGTATTTTTAAATAAAGATTAAAAAGATTAAAAATTAAATGCTTTGTCACATTTGGGTGTCTCGTGATTTTATGACTCGCGCTGTTAAGATGAATATTTTAATTGTGACTTCTGTCAGTTTCTGCATGTTGTATTTTGAAACTGTCCTTGGATTTTCTGGTCAAGTCTGTAATCGATTTCCTGAGAGTTTAGCCAGTCATCTTTGATACAAAATGTTTCACACCTCTTCGACTACTGGACATAACAGTAATATCACGCATTTTATAACTGTCTTTTTACAAAATAAAATTCTATGTGGTCCAGAAGTGCGGCAACCTCAAAGGCTTGACGGCCAAGGGAGCTGTGCCATCAGCGCTGAAAGCTACCTTGCTTTACTTGACTGCATCGGAGGTAAGCGTTTTCAAAGCTCTTGCTGACTTCGCGAGAGATTTCGTCATATATGAGGAGATATGTTGCAGCGTGTACGAAGGAATAGGGTGTACAGGGCAGAATGTTAAACTTTAAGTCAATGTTTTCTCAAGTCTGAAAAGACACCTTGTTAAAGATACTTAATACTTAATTGCATACCCTGATAAGACTCAAGACAAAAGCAGAAACGAGTAAGTAAATGAGCAAAAGTCGACATTTTGGCGTCATGGTAACGCATTATTTATAATTACTGTACATGTCATTAAATAGCCCTGATAATGGCGTTATGCACTTATCAGCGGCCATCCCGGGAGAGTAACCCCGAGGACATACACGGGCACGGCGCGGGATTTGTCAACTTTGTTCGTTGATTTTAAGCCCGGGATGGGGGGATTGGATTGCTTTTGCACTTTCGTAGCAGGGATCCCCCGGGGAAGACCCTCAGGAGTGTAGCGCCGCCACCATTTTGCAGATGGAGCTGGAAACGAGTGCCGTTCCCGTCTTCGAAAGGACTGGGTTCTAGCAAAATGGCGACAGAAAAGACGGTAAACGACTTTCATATTTTTCTTGTATTCTGTTCCTTTTAGCTGGCCATCCGTCGCTTACATAGCGACTATATTTTTCGGAAGAAAACTTGCGAGTCCTTGAATATAACTCTTTTGAAATATTGCACCGTTTGACTTGGAAAAGCACACTTCTTTGCCCCCTGGAGGGGCGTTAGTAGCTTTTTTGTTAAACAATCTTGGTTTTGGGTAGAGAGGATTTGTAAACGTCGTTGTGCAAATGACCGGGGGCTCCCCGCGGTCACCCCCTGGGATGGCCGCTGATACGTGCATTACGATGAAGCCGAAACATCGGCTTTTTACGTTCTTTAGTGTACGCGTTTCTGTTTCAAGAATATGGCAAAAAAGATCAAAACGCGGCTTATGCATAATTTATGTCTAGGCGCGGCATGGACTGATTAATAAAGAACAAATTGAAAACGTTACAGTCAAGAATACTTTTGCAAGGACTGTTCAAGCAACGTGAAATAGAGTTTAGTTGCGATATTTCGACTGGCCAAAGAACAGTTAAAGATGGCATTAACTTTAATTTGAGCTTTTCTAGTTTCGCTGAAGTCTTTTAAACTTTTGTGCACAGGGCAAAGGCTTAGCATATAGTATAAATGAAGAACTGTTTCTAAAACTCTTTAAATATCTTTTCTAGCCACGTTTTCATGAAAAACTTTGGCGTTGACACTCCTTCAAAATTATTGAAAGTTAAAATGACATGTACATAGTTCAGCCTTCTCCCAAAGTCACCTAGCTTATCACTGAGCCAGGCTAAATCATGTGAGAGGTTTGATTAGTTTCGGGTCTTCCTACTTATTCGAGCCGGAGTGATAAAATGAGCACTTGTACGTGGTTCTTTACGCAAAACATTTTTGACAGCCCTTTGTATTTCTCTGATTCTCCAACAGTACACAAGCGGATTCAAAGCCGAGTTGATAAAAACAGCAGTTACGACGTAGTCGTAGGCAATCTTCACTGAAAGCGTATATCCAGTAAAAGTTTCCACGATCATCGTTAAGCAGAATGGGGCATAAAAAATAAGGAACAGTCCATAAACGTAAAGAACAGTCACAGCTAGTCTTTTGAATTTCAGTACGTTCGTTAAGTTAGTTGGTACTCTATTGACAAGGACATGGTCGTGAATCTGACGCTGGTGTCTTTGGACGATCTGAAATATCTTAGAGGTACACAAGGTTGTGACGAGAAATGTTAGAAGCAAGAGAACCACCGGGAAAAATAACCACCCTGTGCTTACCCAAAACCGTAGCATGACAATCGTTATGGACAAGATCCAAAGTGCGAGAACTGTTTTTAATACGCGAGGAACAGTAACGACCAAATTGTAACGTAAATGCAAAGTGAGAGCAAGGAGGCGATCAACAGAGACTGCAGCTAAAGTAAGCAATGACACGCCAGAAGTGATCCAACTCGATATGGATTGAAACATTCTTAATGTACAATACGCCCCAAAGTTCTCCATATGTTCTGCTACTTTATATACCACGAAGAACGGCTGACAGATCAGTCCGACAAAAAGGTCCGTTATGGCAAGACAGGACAAAAGGACGAAAGATGGCGAATGCAGATCTGCTGCTTTGAAAATTGCCCGTAAAACAATATAATTCCCTACACATGTTACCGAAGAAAATATTGAATTGAGCACGCTTGTCAAAATATTTGCAATTGACGTTCCAGAGGTTTTTTCTAAGTTGGTGGCCAAAAAGAAGCACTGAGTTGTTACTGTGGTGTTCATCACTTACAAAACTTGAAAAGTCTCGATTTATCTCGTGAACACTTTTTCATGACCGGATCGATTATTTTTCTGCGATGTAAAATAATGTTTTATTCATTGATACTTTATAAAGCAATATAGCAAATTGGGTCTTTTGACAGCCAATCATTTAAAGTCTAAAGTCTAAAGTCCGCCATTCAATTGACATTTGAATTCAACTAAGGTGCAAAAAATATAACTTAGTTTCCTATTTCTAATGGTAACAGGACTGAGTGGAGTCCAATTCGGTCTGTAATCATACGAGTGATTAACAAAACCGGACGACTGCGTAGCGGGAGTCCGATTTGTTTAATCACGAGCCAATCATTTAAAGTGTAAAGTCTAAGGTCCGCCATTCAATTGATATTTGAATTCAATGAAGGTGCAAAAAATATAACTTAGTTTCCTATTTCTAATAGTAACAGGACTGAGTGGTGTCCAATTCGGTCTGTAATCATACGAGTGATTAACAAAACCGCGGGAGTCCGATTTGTTTAATCACGAGTATGATTACAGACTGAATTGGACGACACGAAGTTCTGTTACCAGTTAATCATAACTTTAACAAAATTTGTGATATATAAGGCCCTGTTTTGAAATCAAAACAGAAGAAATTCCAATTTTTTTTGCTAGTAGTTAAAAAAGCCATTTAAGCGCGCGCGTGATGGCGCGCACTGTCCTATTAAATTGTGCAACTAAGGCTGAAATCAGAGGGCAGTTGATAGCCAATCAGATTTGAGAATTTTGTTATAGTGATGATTAGCATTTTTATAATCTCTCGAAGCATTCATTTCGGTTAATTATGTAAAAGAAAACTTTGTCTTACTCAGACGTTTAATCATACAGTTTTATCAACAAGTCTCTATTTCTCTTTCGTTCCCGTGCATGATGTTCAACATGCCTTAGGTAGGTTCTCGAGGACATCTTACTATTCATAAACACTGACAATAATGGCGTAATAGGTCTCCGTGTTAACAGCTGTATTTATACAGGAGGCCTATCAAATTTCCCTTTAGTTGTCGGTTAGCCACTGGGCGCGCCTATGTAATTTATGATACTCTGTGATTTAATGGTCTTGCTGCTGACCCCCTGCTTCTCCCTGCGAAAATGTTTTGAAATTTTGCTCGTTAATTTTTCGCGCTGTAAATTTGCATATACAACTGTTTCATAACCCCCTTAAACTACACCTGTACAACTTTCGCATTCGTGATGACTCGAAGCGTTACGTACTCCACCACTTTGAAAATGTCTTCTTTCACCAACATTGTTACTAGCAAGAACTTTTCGTAAAAATAGAAAACACAGAATACATTAATTTTTACAATGTTAATGGATGAGACAACATTTATCGTGAGCTGTAGGCATAGCAACATATTAAGTACTGAAAAATAATTGGAAGAAGGCAATAAATGAGACTACAGAGTGTGTAAATAACTATTTATAGTTATCATCAAGTGCCAACGAGCAAGCAAGGAGGACGAGGTTGGGCGATGAAACGAGCACGTCCGAGCAAAAAGGTGTGATGCGGTGGACTGGGATCAAATTATGGACTTCAGATCAAAGTGACGGCAAGTTGCAAAAATTTCAGCGCGTTCATTGGCTGAGAGCAGCAGAGAGTTTAACTTTTTTGTGTGCAAACAGTTGAAATTGAGCGCAGAAAGTTGAAATCAGTTAAATTTCCGCCTCAGGTGAGTTGAGGGTCTGTCAGTAGAATATTCGATTTTTTTTTTGGTGAGGATGAAGAATGTGCAAACAGACGTAAATCATAAGCCATGCAACCACGAAGCAATTCTGATTCATTCACGGGGCATTTTGACCCACACTCCAATCAAAAGAAACCAGAAGAAACAAAAGCCAAATAGCAAAATGCAAAATTCTTGACTGATAATCAAAACATGAAAAATGTCTTGAAGCAAAAGCACTTTTCATTAAATGGAGAAAGTAGCGAGATTGAAGTGTTGCAGAAATCAAAATCTTTTTTAAAGCCTTGTTTTCTCTTTGTTGGTATTTTAGCCGGCTTCGCGTTTGGAAGGCGAATACTAGATGAACATACCCGCATAAAGCCTTTTTTTACAACTAGCAAGACAACTAAGTTTTCAATAAAACTTTTCCCTGTCTTTAAAAAGTTTGTGTATTTTAAATCCGAGGGCATATATACATCGTCTCAAATTTATCGTACGAGTCAACGTAAGAAAATTAAAGTAATTATGCTCGTTAAACGAGACAACAAATGCAATAACTCGAACTCACGTGAGATGCAATTCCTCAAAGCTAGTAAGTGAGGTTAGAAACGCTCTAGTTTTCTCCCTTACTCTGCTGTAAAAGCCTGCATGAACTCCAAAAAAAGCCATCGATGAAACCCCCGTTGTGACGCTTTCCTCAACCAAAACCCAAATAAATAGAACACAACAAAGGAATCTTGATAGCAGTTGTATTTCTTTCCGTGGCGGCAGTGGAAAAACATGAAAAGTTGAAAACATAAAATGACAAAAGACATTCATTCAGTTTTCAGTAAACAAATTTCTAGCTACTGCGTTTTTATCTACATATAGAGAATACTTCATGGAAAGTGCTGGCGTACGGTATTTACACACGAGTTGTTTTTGTATCGGAAATCGAACGAGTGAGCGCAGCGAACGAGTTGAGATTTCTGATACAAAATCAACGAGTAGGTAAATACCGTACGAAGCACTTTACATGTGGTATTGTGTTTATTGTATAAATACTGAGACATTCATCATTTTGGTGGCCTTTTTATTTTAAATAACAATGAAAACGAAGTATCAGCTTTTTAGTAGAAACATTTCTTAAAAACATAAATGACGGTAAGGATATGAGGTAATCCAAGAACTACAAGTAATCTTAACTGTTTGTTCTGAATGTACAATTAAAAATGAGTGAATTTAAGTAAAATGGCAGGTTTCAATATAAGCTTAAGCTTATAAATGGAAGACCCTGAGTAGCTCCGACAAAAGGTACAACAAAAGCGTACGTCTTGTTCTGTTTTTCCCCTTCCGCTGTTCTTTCGCCGGCTCTCCACAGTTTGCTTTATCGACAGTGAAACAAACGAAACTATTCCACTCCATTTCTGAGATGTTTCTCACTTTTTTAACGAGAAAAAATTCTTTGAGAAAAACTTTTCTCCTTGAATGTGTGCGAAGCGGCGCTTAGCAAGCTTCAAGAAAAGGCGGGAATTTTGGCGCGAAACTCACACACCTCTGTGGCTTCTGATTGGACGTATCATTTTTCTCACATGTGAAAAAACATCGTTCGCGATTCTGATTGGACGTATCATTTTTTCTCACGTATGAAAACCATAGTTCACTCCTCTGATTGGCTAGAACTCATTTGCGTATCAAAATTTACAACACAACTTTTTGGTGAGTATTTCTCAGTATGTATATAACAAGTAACAATATTCACCGGTCAAAATTTTGACCAATCTTGGTCGAAGTTGTCATTTGTAGGCTGCAACAGGGAGCGGTGACAAGCAGTGACACGTAAAGAGGAAAAATTCAAATTTTTGCATGCATTGGCAAGATTTTTCTCGTACAACTTGGGATAAATCAGCACTCGTATAAATTTTTCAAAGACCACAAATTGCACTGGCTCGCTCTACGGGAGCGTGCAACTGGTTAGATTTTGCCGAAAACTTTACTTGTGTGAGTGTAGCTAAATGTCTTGGATCGTAAGTAGTGGGTAGAGGTCGTGGGTCGTGGGTGTGGGTCGTGGGTCATGGGTGTGGGTGTGGGTAAATGTCGTGGGTAAAAAAAGAATAGAAAAAATAATATAGTATGAAGTAATTGAAAAAAAGAAATAAATAGAAAAAAGTTGTAATGTATTTATGAAACGAAGATCTCCACTCCTCATGCCCTTTTCGTCACGGCTTCTTCTTCGTCCTCTTCCTGATATTTCCTTAGCCACGTAGGACTTGGCTCCCTTTCACACCATCACTGTATAAAAGCCATTATATGTTGCCGATGAAGATTTACCCATACCTGAGCTATCGTCGCGAAATAAACGAAACAGACAAAAACTATACGTGCAATTTGCAGAAAGTATGGGGCAGCTCTGACTCGCTGACTCAGGAAGTAGGTGCTCATTATTAATCTTTATTCGATCTACGATTCCAGTGATCAGCGGTTTTTTTTAACACAATGGCATGCGATCACTATGGGTAAGGGGAGGGGAAAAGGGTAAATTTGACCTATTTCATGTTTTTGGATAGAATTCTTTCTTAAAGAAGATTTAGGCTAGCTAATAGCTCACGAAGGAACCACATGCATGCTCAACCTTTCAAGTTAAGGCGAGACTGTATGTAAATTTTATTGCCGTACGGAAATATACTTTTTTCGATTCTTTTTTGTTTTGTTTTGTGTACAAAACTATCTTTGCTGTAACGATCGATTCTAAATATCATTCGTTAAACTGAAAGGACGTTTCGGTCACGAATGTTGACATGTTTGAGCAACCTCGTCCCCAGGGCGCTTTTCCCTGGCTTTGGAGGGAACGAGGGAAAAGCGCCCTGGGGACGAGGTTGATCTTCGAGAAAAATCAGTTCAGTCTCCAGTTTTTCCATAGCTTGCTTCAGGTTTACATAGTGTACAGAGTTGCTTTTATTTTTCACCTAAAGGCCTTTTTAGTGGCCGTTTGACTAGAGGATTCGCTTATTTGCTTTGCTGACCGAGGGGAAGGAAAATGGGACTGGTATGTACGCGGAGATTTTCATTTTATGAATTTCACAACTTAATGCGTTTTAATTTTGTAATTTTTTTTTTTTGAAAACTTTTTTTTACCCACGACATTTAACCACACCCACACCCACGACCCACTACCCACGTCCCACGACATTTAGATACGCTCGAGTTCGAGTCCTCGAAATCATGTGATTACCTATACAAATGTCATGAATTACCGTAATTTACGAAAAATAGTGTGAACTCAATAGACGTTATCACGGTTTTGGAAGCCATCTTGATGAG